CGACCTTGAAGGCGTTGAACGCGTCGTCTGCTATCAGTCGCGTCAGCTGCAACCAGCTGAGCGGAACTATCCAGTGCATGACAAGGAACTCCCTTGCCATGAAGTATGCACTAGCGAAGTTCAGAGTCTATCTATTAGGAGATAGACCCTTCGTTGTTTACACTGACCATGCGTCCTTACGCACGGCAGTGAACAGCCCGCACCTTTCACAACGAATGGCGCGGTGGTTGTCATTCTTTGCGGAATACAACTTTACGGTCGAGTACAAACCAGGACGACTTAATGTCGTCGCTGATGCACTCTCACGTCGTCCCGACTTTGAAACAGTCGCGAAACCCAACAGTGAGACAGTCACTGTTGCGGTTATGACGTCCTCAGTTCCATCTACAACGTTGTATGATGATGTGAGGCGGGCATACGCCCAAGATGGTGAGATAGTGAAGTTGTTGTCACATCTCTCCCAACCATCCCGAGAATCGTTGAAACGATTGTCGCCTCGCGTATCGATCTGCATCAGATCGATACACTACTCGTAACGGTTTACTGTATTATACAGCCGTTTCTGGTGACACACCACGTGTTGTCATTCCAGATGATACTGATCTGCGTTTGCGGATCATGTTCGAGTATCACGATGCTCCTATAGGAGGACATCGTGGCCGAGAGAAAACATATCTCACGGTAAGTCGAGACTTTTACTGGCCCCGCCAGTATCAGTTTGTGCGAAAGTATGTTCGCGCATGCGAAGTCTGCCAACGAGTGAAGTCAAGTCCTTCACTGCGTGCACCTTTACAGCCTCTACCGGTTCCGGCTGAGTGCTGGGAATCCATCTCAATGGATTTCGTCTTCGGGTTACCCAAAGACGCACGCGGGAATACGGGTATTCTCGTATTTGTTGACAGATTCAGCAAAATGGTACACCTTGTGGCTGTACCAGAGACAATCACGGCAAGTGGCTGTGCTTGTGTCTTTATTGACACCATCTTCCGACTTCATGGGTTGCCCCGTGAACTCGTATCAGACAGAGATCCACGATTCACTGCTGATTTCTGGCGTTCCGTGTTCAAATCACTCGGAACGCGCTTGAAGATGTCAACATCTGATCATCCAGAGTCAGATGGTCAGACGGAACGTGCCAATCGTGTCCTCGAAGAGATAATTCGAGGATACGTACACTCCTTTAAGAGTTGGAGTGAGTTTTTGCCGATGGTAGAGTTTGCCATCAACAACTCGGTGCATGCGTCGACGACACATACACCGTTTTACGTGAATGGCTTGCGCCATCCGCGTGTACCCACCTTACTAGAGTGTAACTCTGGTTTAAGGGGGGGAGGGACTCGCGCGAGCAAAAACCGATTTGGTTCACGCTCATCACGCTCTGACGAAGAAGTCATTGCGTTTGATGCCGATATCGATAACATCGATATCGAAGAAGATGATGCCAGTGAGAGTGCGGAAGCCCTCACTGAAGACAATGATGCCAGTGAGAGTGCGGAAGCCCTCACTGAAGAAAAGGTTGTTGTTGCTGCAGTGCGCTCACAGCACACTGAAGCTAACGAGTCATCAGATGAGTTCATACTGGCTCGTGAAACGGTAGTCCGTTTTGTGCAAGACTCCATCGCCGAAGCGGTGGATAAGCAAAAGCAAAACGCTGACAAGAATGGAAGGGCAAACACTCTTTTATTTAATAAAGGTGACTTAGTCCTACTGTCTACGGTTAATCTACCAAAGCATGTAGTGACTAACTTGGGTAGCAGTAAACTACTACCCAAGTACATTGGCCCATTTCGTGTATTGCACCGCCTAGGCAATGCATACACGATCGAGTTACCACGTAAGATGCGAACGCATCCCACGTTTTACGTTGGTCGGCTTAAGCCGTACCATCAGTACGCTGCTTCTTCCGATGAAGAACGCCCTTGCGCTCAAGCATCTCGCAGAGAGCCTTGTGCTCCCGATGGTGGGCATCAACAAGGGTCTGAAGAGCAGTTATCTCAGCCCGAGACCGATCAACAATCCCACGAGCTACCCTTAGCTCGTCACGAAGAGATGTCAGAGATCTCTCGTTCTCAAGCTGAGCAAAGGCAAACTCAGCTCGATGCTTCGAGGCAGTGTCCAACATCTGGAGACGCCTATTCCGCTCATGCTCGAGATCGTCGCGTAACCCTTGCGTTACGCGATCAAAGATGCTCTCGGGAACACACCGATCCACATGATCGTGTGGAGAGCGTCTTTCCTCCTCCTCCACCTCCATTAGAGGACTCTCGCGGTGGCCAGCGCTATCTAGTAGAGCAGCTGTTGAACCACCGCGACGTGAACGGACGTCGGACGAGTTACCTCGTCCGGTGGCGCGGCTATCCCCCGTCCTGGGATTCTTGGGAGCCCCGCTCCCAATTGATGGTTGACGTACTGGGTCTGGTCGAGCAGTACGACGCGACACATCCTGTGCCGCAGAAGGACCGCCGGAGAAAGTCTTCCCGGCACGGTCGTAAAGGGATTTCAGGTTGTCAATCCCTTCGTACATCTCAGTAGAGACACATACGCGCCACCACGGGCTATTAGGGAGGTAAGCCTCCTTAGGTGCTCGTGCAGAGTTGTTCACACAACATGGGCACGAGTCTCCCCAAGAGAGGCAGGGTAATCCTTTCTCCCTTGACAGACGATGCAGCTTGTAGCGTGCACCTGTCGGGGTTCGCTTTTCAAACTTATCACGAGCTTTGATAAGTTTGTCGTTCCAAGCGTCACGACCTACATCCTCGAGATTATGGATGTAGGCGTTCCACGCCTGAAGTAGTGAGGGACCATCACGTTTGTGATTCCCACTGTACCATCGATTTCTGAAGAAAGCATCGATGAAGAACTCATGTTCAGCGCGATAGTCTTTCGCGCTGGGGTCAAGGTGATGAATCCTTGACGAATCGAACAATCGTGCTCGATAACGATCACTCGTCGTCGCCGACAAGTGATCCATGACAGATTTAGGAGGCATCCATGCCTTCTTTTCTGGAGCGAGACGCAACACATTGCGGTCCCGCTCTTCCTGCGACGTGCCGACAGAAGTACTGGCACCTCGCTGTGAAGTGGTGTCCATTGGAGAAACGACACCACTATTAGCGCCCGAGTCTCGCGACCTCGAGCGCCTTCACTTCGGCGATGGTTCATCTGATTCATCAGATGAACCAAAGATGCTGCGACGCAAAGCATCGTCCATGCCACGCTTGGCAGGCGGCTTGGATTCAATTGCCGTCGATACGGATCCGTCATCCGTATCAGGAGAGTACGAGACACCGAGCTCGTACTCTGTGAAGACACGAGTGTCTTCATGACCAGCGCCTGCATCACCAGGTGATACAGGCTGAGTCGATTCAGCAACCGATGGGACATCAGTTGCTGTAGTTTCTGCTTCGGCGTCCGCACAGAGACGTGCAGACGCGCTCTCGGCGGCCTCGCTCGCGCATCGCATGGGCTTGTTTACCATGCGATGAGATGTTGGAAAGTGGACGCGGACCAACAAGTGCAAACCCCGTCCCAAATGATTTGGGACGAGTATCCATTTAGTCAATCAGTCACTAAAGTGACTGATGGTTAAGGGGGGGGTGATGTAACGGGGTGAATCGTTACATAACAATTTATAAGAAATTGTTAATAGAATATAACTATAAGAGTTATATTCTCAGAATATTGTCATAAGGACAATATTCTGTAGCACTTCCAAGTAGTTCCTAATTGGTTGATATAGGCCATTATATCAACCAACGAAGACGCGCCACGACAGACGCACGCAATGAGTGGTGAGCAGATAACTGATTTACACATTTGTATTTAGACATAGTTAGATGAAGATAAATAGTGATTTATTGCAGACATTAACTATTATAAATACAGTTCTACTTTTTACTCTAACCGAGTACTCGCTTCTTCTTACCGTCTTCCTCTGCACGTACGAGTGTACGTGAAGTTACGAGGCACCGCCTTATTCTGTTATCAGAATAAGTAGCTTGTACTGTCACCAGTACAAGCTTCAGGGTGCCCCGTTACACAAAAGGTGATGCTAAGTACGTGGTCACATTTGTGGACGACCATCTCGGCATGTGGTGGCGTACTTTCTCAACGCGAAGACAGAAGTAATGATGAATATCAAGGAGTTCAAGAGACTGTACGAAAGACGGTCGAATGCCAGGATCAGTTCCTTCGCTCGGTCTACTAACCGGAATTCGTATAAAAGGCAATGGACAAATACTATACGGCCAGTGGAATCGTACACCAGAAAACGGTAACATACAGCCCACCACAAAATGGCGTGGCGGAAAGAGCCAACCGGAAAATCGTGGAGAAAGTTAGATCGATGATGCACTTTAAAGGCGTCCTGATGGATTGATGGGTAGAAGCGGTCAACACGGCCGTGTACCTATTGAACCGTTTGACCAGCAGAATACACCTAATTACCGCGCCTTGTGAAATGGATTTGGGGTGAAGTTGTGCATGGAACACCTTTTTGTGTATGATTCGATGGGTTCTGCGCACGTGGACAAGACCAAGCGCACCAAGTTGGACCCGAAAGGTTTTCAATGCCTGTTTCACGGGTACGCGGAGAATAGCTAAGGGTACAGGGTCTACGACTAGGACGCACACAATCTGCAAATGTTATGATAGCATTGTCTACTGCTTTTTATGTTCATGAATGTGTTTGGAAGAATCGAGAAGGACTTGCTGAGAAGAAGCACAGCATGACGTCATCGGGTGACGTCACAAGAAAAGCTTCTTAAACCTTCTAGAAGATCTTGAAAAGATCGAAGGGTGATCATTGGTCTAGATAAATCAGTGAGACTGATATAGTTTGTCTAAGTATATGAAATGAGTGGCTTAGAGGCAGCGAAGCAAGTTTGCGAACTAAGGACCGTAAGATATATTCACTTCACAATTTGCCTTCGCCTGCGCACATCAACTCAACAGGTTAACAGCCGCAACGCGCTTGAAGCGGCCAAGTCACCACGTTCACCATGACAAGCAAGCAATGTGAAGTACTCCTGGGTAGTGGAAACTACTTTCACTGGGAGTATAACTTGCGCGTGACGTTGGCGCGCAAGGGGCTGCTGGTGCACGTTCAAGTCATTAAGAAAGAGGAAGAGATGACGGATGCCTGGCTGTTCAACGAGGCTTAGGCATTAGGTATCATCGCTCAAGGCATAGAGCTACTGCACCAGACCAAGATACGATCGGCGGCAACAGCTATGCACGCGTGGGTCATCTTGCGGGACTTCTACAACCGCATTACGCTCCACAATCGTGTCAAGATGACACGTCGTCTGCATGAGTTCAAGATGGAGAATGGTTCGACCATGTCGAAGCACTTGGATGCTTTTGACGAGCTTGTTGTCGGCCTCCAGACACTTGGAGAGCCAGTCGATGACTCTCGGCAGCTAGTGGTGTTGCTTAACAGTCTTTCGACGGAGTATGAGCTCATCTCGTCAATTGTGGAGAATTCCAAGGACATCACGCTCATCGAGGTCACGGAAAAGCTGCTGAAGGAGCGTGATCGAATGCAGAGGAAGGAGACTACGGAGAAGGCGTTTCCTGTAAGCAGCAACGGTAGACGGTTTAAGGGAGGCCAAGGTAACGGCCGCAAGGGAAACTCTCTACGGAAAACCAACGCCGGAATTAAAGGCAAGTGTTATAAGTGTGGTCAAGTTGGACACTATAAGCGGGACTTCCTGAAGCGTAGCCATTCCGAGGAAGAAGGTGCTGTGTTTTCTGCTGGTGAGTTGCGATGCGAAGAATGGCTTATCGACAGTGAGGCTACGTCGCACATGGCACCACATCGGAGCGATCTCTATGAGTACAAGGAGTTGGAGAATGGTCAACAAGTCTCTATCGCTGATGGCAAGAAGCTGCAGGTATCTGGAGTGGGAACAGTCAAGCTGGAAGGTCTGGACGGTCGACGGATCATGATGGTCGAGGTCATGCACATACCAGGACTTGACAAACGATTGCTGTCCGTTGGCAAACAGGCAGGACGAGGCATGAGGGTGGAGTTTCAAAGCTTGTATTGCATCATTTGGAGTGCCAATCGCGCGATTGCAAGCGGCAAGAAGATTGGCAAGGCGTACTTCCTGGATTGCGAACAAGAAGAAGCTCGGCTTGTGGAATACGCAGGGGCTGACCTGTGAGTGGGAACTTTGGCACGCTCGCTTGAAACACCCCGGAAGATCTGGTATGGACAAGACACAGCGCGCTACGAGTAATATACCGGCGGTAAAGCAGGGTATCGAGAAGCTGTGTAGTGGATGCATGAAGGGCAAGCAGGTGGTCGATACATTCCCGTCTCAGTCGCTAACAAGGACGTCACATGTGTAGGAACTAGTACATACGGACGTGATGGGACCGATGAAGACGGTCTCAAAGGGTAGTGCACGAGTCGTATTGACATTCGTAGACGACTACTCAAAATTCGTGGCAGCGTACTTCATGAAGCACAAGAGCGAGGTGGCCGCAAGGCTTAGCGAGTTCAAGGCATTTTACGAGAATCATTGGGATAAGCACTTGAAATGCATACGGTCGGATAACGGGACGGAGTTTGTCAACAAAAGATTGCCCATGTATGCGTTCGTTATGGTATCATGCACCAGCGGACAGTACCATATAGTCCGCAACAGAACAGCGTTGCAGAACGCATGAATCGCACTACCATGGAGAAGGCAAGGAGCATGCTGTACTATAAGGGTGTCGGCATGCCGTGGTGGGCAGAGGCGGTCAGTACGGCTGTGTACTTGATCAACAGATCCACAAACTCTGCGAATTCGGACGTAACACCGTTCGAGGTTGGTTTCAAGACGAAGCCGAGTATTGAGCATTTGCGTGTGTTTGGATCGCAAGGGTATGCTCACATTGACGACGACAAGAGGACGAAGCTCGAACCAAAGAGTTACCGGTGTATGTTTCTCGGATATGAGGAGAACACCGAGGGATACAGGGTATTCAATCTGGAAAGGTCGAAGGTTGTCATATCGCGCTCCGTAAAGCTGGACGAGCGGGAAGTTGAAGGCATGTACGACACGGTGATACCAGAGAAAGTACCAGTCGTCAAGTATGTTAGGGACGCTTATGAAGCAGTGATTCCAGTGGTTCGTCCGCTTGATGGTGACGAGACGATGGAATATGTCGAAGAAAGCGCTCCTGATGTCGATATGGACGAGATGGAATTGGCTCCATTCGAAACAGGTATCATCATACCCCAAGTACTCGATCCAGAAACTCAAGATCCAAGAGGCGATGAGATAACGGAACATCAAGTTTCGAGATAAGCTTTTCAGGAGGACCGGTTGGTATTTCAGCCGGAGATAAATCGGACAAGACACTCACGAGCCAGAATGCTGCTGCTTGAGAATGGGAATAGCAGTGAAGACACGTCAGAAGGTAGCGATGGACCACCTACTCCAAAGCGTGCAAGAATTGATGACGAAGGTCTTATTGCAGAGGCTTCATTAGCCTATGCTGCAAGTGTTGGTGAGGCAGACGACGCTCCATCAACTACAGTCAAGCGTTAAGAATGAACGACAACAGCAAGTAGATTCAAGCGATGCAAGTGGAGCTCAAGGCGCACGCGGATAATGGGTCCTGGACACTGGTACCAAAACGGCAAGACATTCGACCAATCGGGTGCAGGTGAATATTCGCTAAGAAGCGAAACGAACACCTGCAAGTGGTGCGCTACAAAGCTCGACTCGTCGCAAAGGGGTTCAAGCAGAAATTCGGTGTCGACTTCTTCGAGACGTACTCTCCCGTGGCAAACATGAACTCGACCAGGGTCGTGCTAGCTGTGGTGATGACCAAGGGATACGTCACTGAGCAGCTGGATGCAGACACGGCGTTCGTGAACAGTGATCTCAAGGAAGAGGTGTACGTGGAAGTGCCAAATGGCATACCTTATGCATAGAAGATGATGTGCAAGTTGGATAAGGCTATCTACGGTCTCAAGCAGGTTTCAAGTGCGTGGAACAAGACAATCCATGCTGCATTCTTACAGATAGGATTTCGTAGCAGCGGAGCAGATCAGTGTATCGACGTCAAGAGTCAAGATGACAACTTCATCTATGTGTGTCTCTGCGTTGACGACATGATCATCGCCGCCAAGACCAGCAGGGAGATCCAAGAGGTCAAGACAGCACTCAAGAGCTCATTTCGGATGAAGGAGCTAGGCAAGGCCAGATTTATTGTTGGCATGGAGATCGATCATGGCCACAATTGCAGAATGCTGATGATTTGACAGACCCGATACATCGATGATGTAGTCAGCCTTTTTAATCAAGAGGACGCAAAGGCAGTGGTCAAGCCATGTGAGACCAGTTTGAATCTGTCAAAGATGCAATCACCAACGACGGATGTCGATAGAGCAATAATGCAGTCGAAGCCGTACAGGTCGCTGACCAGATGTTTGCTATACATCACGACATGTATGCGCCCAGATGTGATGCATATCATCACGCAGTTATCAAGGTTTTGGAGAATCCAGGTCGGCAACATTGGAAGGCAGCCATTCGTGTTCTTCGGTATCTTAAGACGACAAGAGAATACAGGATAACCTACGACGGCAGCGCTAGCGAAGTAACAGCTACAGCGTACACGGACGCGGACTGGGGTAGCAACATCGATTTATTCACGCTCAGTGTCAGGAATAATGGTGATCATCGGTGGCGCACCAGCCATATACAAGTCCAAGTATCAACGCAAGGTGGCTCTAAGCTCTGCTGAGGCAGATTACATGGCTTTAAGCCTGTGTACACAGGAAGTGTTGTGGGTTGGTGCGTTGCTCAAGGATATAGGTCACGAGCAAGTGGGAGCATCGTGGGTCTGGGAAGACAATCAAGGAGCAATTGGGCTTTCCAGCAATGCCGGCTACAAAGCCAGAACCAAGCTTGTTGACATTCGTCACCACTTCATCCGGGAGAATGTGGCCCACGACATCATCGTGGTCAAGTACATCTCCACCATGGACCAGTCGGTCGACATGCTGACGAAGGCTATGGGGACCACGCGACTGAAAAAATTGCTACAAGCAAGCAGCATTGGACCCAAAGGGATTTAGCATAGAGGTGAGTGGGAGTGTTAAGATAGCATTGTCTACTGCTTTTTATGTTCATGGATGTGTTTGGAAGAATCGAGAAGGACTTGCTGAGAAGAAGCACAGCATGACGTCATCGGGTGACGTCACAAGAAAAGCTTCTTAAACCTTCTAGAAGATCTTGAAAAGATCGAAGGGTGATCATTGGTCTAGATAAATCAGTGAGACTGATGTAGTTTGTCTAAGTATATGAAATGAGTGGCTTAGAGGTAGCGAAGCAAGTTTGCGAACTAAGGACCATAAGATATATTCACTTCACAATTTGCCTTTGCCTGCGCACATCAACTCAACAGCAAGTTATACGATCGGTAAAGCTCGACAAACGAGAAGTTAGCGTAATGTATGACACGCCTATGTCAAGAAGCCAGAGGATCATCCAGTTTATCGAAGTTGACGATGACACGGTCTGTTCCAAGAACGTAGACGGACCGGATCAAGATGAGCCAGTGGAGCGTCCGAACGAATTTGCTAAAGAAAAGGATGCAAGAAATGGACGACCAAGAGCCGCCTGGATCGATGCTGACAGAGTTATCAAGGATGGATAACAAAGTAATTTTCCGGGCCAAACCCGCCCGAATTCGTCTTAGTCAAGAACCTTTGCTCATGACTGAGAACGGTTACAAACCGGATGACGATGGTGAAAATGATGATCATTTTTTATCCACCATCTTCCAAGAGATTACGGATCAACGATGATTGCCTACTTGCTAGAGCAGTACTACAGCATGCCGCAAACGTTGAAGACACTGCTGGTGCTCCGAATACGTACCAAGAAGCCATTGCAATTTACGATTCATCAAAGTGGATCAAGATTTGGAAGAAGAACCGAAGGCGCACAAGGTGAACGGGTCTTGGTTTTTTGTATGAAGTACCGAAAATTTATGACAAATCGGATGTAGATGGGTGTCTTCGAAAAAGCGGGATTAACATGGCACGGTGATCAATTACAAGGCAAGAGTTGTTGCAAAAGAGATTCATGCAGAAGTTTGGCGTAGACTTTTTCGAGACGTACTGACTGGTAGCTAACATGAACTCCATACGAGTTCTTGTGTCAGTGATTGTGACGAAGAGATATGTGTTCAAGAAAATGAATGTGGACACAGTCTTCTTGAACAGTAACCTCAAGGAAGGTGCACATGGAGATGCCGAAATGGTTTTCCGAAACCAAAGGTATGGTGTGCAAGCTGGAAAAATCAATTTATGGACTCAAACAAGCAGCAAGTTTCATGCACTTTTTATAAAGATCGTATTCAGAGCTGCGGGGCCGACCAATGAGTTTACGTGCAACGCAATCACGGCAACATAATATTTGTTTATCTGAATGTCAATGACATGATTATCGCGGCCAAGACCAAAAAGTGATCACATCGGTCAAGAACGCGCTGAAAGGATCGTATAAGATGTAGGAACTTGGTACTCCCAAGTTCATTCTGGGTATGGAGGACAAACATGACTCAAGGGCTGGGATTCGGACAATCAAGCAGACCGGGTACATCGACGATGCGTTGCAACTGTTTAACTATCGAGATGGAAAAGCAGTAATGAATCTACGTGAAACAGGACTAAGCTTATCAAGATGCAGTCACCGACCACAAGTGCTAAGCGGTCTGACATAGTTACAAACCATATCGGTCTCTAATCCGATGCCTGCTATACATCATGAAATGAACCCGCCTGGATGAGGTATACATCGTGACGCAATTGTCAAGGTTCTTGTAGAATCCAGACAAAGCACTGGGAAACGTCAGTTCGAGTGCTGCAATATCTTAAAAAAAGGACGTGAGACATCGCGATTGTGTGCAACCATACAGATGGCAAGATATTGGTTTAGGCCTGTACGGACGCTGACTGGGGTGGCGCTATCGATGATCAAAGATGTGTCATAGGCATCATGGTCATGATTGGAGGCACACCAGTCGTGTAAATGTCAAGATATTAAAGAACTGTGGCACTGAGTACTGCTAAAGCTGTATACATGGCACTAAGTTTATGTACAAAGGAAGTTCGCTGAGCACAATCGATGCTATAGGACCTGGGACACAAGCAATTGGGAGCAACTGAAGTCCGGGAAACGACCAAGGAGCTATCGCATTGACAAGCAACGCTGGATACAACGCGCGTACAAAGCATGTCGATGTTCGACATCACTTCATCCGAGAAAATGTCGTAAATGTACAATGGCAGGTTAGGTACATCAAGACAGAATATCAAGTAGCCGATATACTAACAATGGTTTTGGGAACCTAGGGACTCAGGTCTGTGCGAATCAAAAGAAGTCAAGATATCCAACACATCACAATGGCGGCCAGTGAAAGTGTTGACTAGGTACACCGTATGTATTTGTTTAATGGATGCGTGTTTTTTGGATATTGATGATCGGGTGTGGCTCACTTTCGTGAGAACATAATAAAGCATACGAACATTCAGCTGTCATATAGTAAACTGATTACCAGAAGATTATCGGTTAGTAATAAGGGCGTTAGGACGACGATGTTTCTTGTATTATAAATTCGCATCGACGATATAGGACTTAGATGCAAAATGTAAAGGATAAACGAAAAATCTCAATTCATAAATCACTTCATAATTTAAATTTAGTCAACACATCTTCAGGTGCAGTTGTTTACACCATGTAGAATGCAGGAGCAATCAAGTTTTTGTAGCTCTCAAACCTTTGCAGCACTCCGTCCAAGACGAAGTGTGGACATCGCATAAGAGTAACGATGATGTATATACATCTGGGTACAATGCCGTGGCGCTGAGCGCTACCCGACTTATCCACCCCAGCAGACACGTACTAGTAGCAGCACATGTCGATAAATACGTCACCCACGTATACACATACCTGGATGTGGAATGCGCGCAAACACGGGCGTACTCACGCGAACACCGACGTTCTTTGATGTCGTATATCGGTAAGGTGTGCCTGGTGTGTATGTATCACCACATACGATTGAAGTCGCACAAGACGCATACTAGCAGGAGAAGCGAACTAGGATAGAGTTCTGCTCAGCTACGATATCACACACGTAGTTCGATTGGTTAAGCTCTCTCTTTCTCTTTGGTGCTTTCTATTCCGCTGTTACGACTGATCCAAGAAAGCTTCATCGATGTGTGGCTCCTGGCCTGATGCTCCTTCTGTTTTGGCAGCAAAGACAACATGACGGCACTCGCATGTACAGACCTTGTCACACTGGTGCTCGACATTAGAGAGCGTAAATATCCCGTGGAGTCAATGGAAGTGAAGCAAAGAGTCACGACGAGATCAAAGACGTGATCAATACTCATGAGCATAGTGTCCAATCTTCTGAAAGCCTAGAACTTCCATAGCGTGGTCGATGTTCTCTTGAACAGTTGAGTTACCTTGCTCAACGGCAGTACTATTGCATAGATGAGGAGACGTACCGGTAGCTCATCCCCAATATGCTTGTGATGTTGCGTATCCGACTGGCTATGCTGTCTCACATATAAGCAAAGCATCGATTGACAGTGCCGGCCTTCGTGACCATAACAAGTGACCAGCTGGCACTAAGGATACGGACGTACACTGTAACGAGGCACCCTTCGTTTGGGGTCCGCAAAATTTTTCTTAAACTAGTACGTGCAGAGGAGGCTAATCGTTTTAAACCACTTGTTCAAGTAAATTTGAAAAGAGAACTGAATTTAATGAAGTTGAGCTATCCGCGTATCTTCAGTCTTTATCTAACTATGTTAAACTACATTATCGTATGACGACAACCTGCTCACCATTCATTACGCGCGTCTAGCAGCGATTGGTGTTAATCTTGGTCTAAACGTATTACATCAACCAATCTTTGAGCAGCGCATGAACATTATCCTACAAAGAGATGATATTCCTGCATTGTTATTAACCTCGGATACAATTGGCATGGAAATGTGACGCTAAACAATCTTTTTAGTGACACCGTTTGGAGTTAATATCATGTAACGGGCTACCCCGTTACACCACCCTCCCCCTTAATCATCAATCATCCGCTGATAAATTTAACTGATCGAGACAGGGTGATCAACGCTGGATCCTTCTGGTAAAGGGACCACTTGTTGGTAAAATTCCAACTCATTTGCCGATTTATCGCGTGGTGTCAAGGTCCATGTGGTGTGCTGCCGAAGCAGCCAGAATGGCGGTTGCACACATGCGTGCAGCTGAAGAGAGTACTTCTCTTGCTTCAGCAGAAGGAGGTACTTTGTGTGCTGTAGCGATACAGAAACAGATATTGCCTGTTGTGAATAGTCCATGTGGTGATTCACTGCTTGCGACCGATACATCCGCTGCGTCTGCAGCGGGTGCTACGACTCCCAATGCGGGTGAGCCTGAAATAAAGCTCATCTATTCTGGCGATTCGGATGATTCATTCGACTCGAAGGCGGCGCTTACCTCCTATGGATTATCAAGGCGCAAACTGCAAGACCCAGGTTGACTGGCTCTGGAGAACGTGGCGGCATCATGTCCGAGATCTTCGGATTAAGAGACTCTTCTGACAAATCCTCGTCTCACGCGAGTCAATCTGACGATAGAACGCGTGTTGATGACGCACGTGTGCGTCGCCACGAGCAAAGTAACTCGAGGGATCGAGCTGCCACTGGTGTCAGTGCTCATGCTGTCACCACTCAAGAGGCCAGGGAACGAAATGTCCTGCGCCACGCTCCTCGAGAGAAGTCTCCTTGGATGCCATCATCCAGGTTAGATTGATTGGCCGGAATGACCACCAAACGGGATCGAATCCCGTTATTCGACTGTAGGAGGATCTGTCCTCCTAATTCCAGCACGGAAAATATCCTTGCTGAGGAAGAGTTCTTCACCGATTTGTTCGTCAGACATCGGTGGTACAATAGCAACCGTGGCCTCGGCGGTAATGCCTTGGTGCAAGGATGGAATACCTTCATCCATAACATCGAGTGCATTGGTCGTGAGGCCTGGATCGGTAAACTTGATACAGCTCGCATCAGGTTTTTAAAGCGTAACCCAGTCGGTGTACGGTACAAGTTGCACCGACTGTCAAGAGAGTCAAGGTTACCTTGTCTCTCGTGGCATAATTCGTGCCCACATTGCCTGTAAAACTCGAATCGTGCCCCTAGAGAGGCCTACCCCCTAGTGCTTCCTACTGGAGGGCGCGCATCTCTTCTGAGATGGCCGAAGGGATTGACACTTTGCAATCCCTGTACTCGTGTTCAAATAAGTTGTTCTCCTACGGCCCTTCTTCGAACGCATCGGGTGGGCCTCTTAATATTGCTAGACAAGACCCAATCAACTATAACCTGGGTGCGAAACTCCCAGCTGTCCCAGGCCGGTGGATATCCACGCCAGCGGACGAGATAACCCGTCCTGACGCCTTTCACGTCGCGGCGATTCAAAATACGCTCTACCATATAGCTTTGACCACCGCCAGAATCTACCAAAGGATGGGGTGGGGGCGGGAACACTTGATCCGGATCAAGGATCGTATCAGCTTGCTGTTCGGGAACTGAACCTTGGAACGGATAAGTTACACGATGACTCGCCGTATGAAAGGACTCGGCGTTATGGGCTCCATGACCTTGTAAAGGATAATTACAATTTCTTAGCACACGATCGTTCAAATATCGTGCCGCGTTTGCGTTTATGCAACTTAAGAACGAACGTTCAATTTGTTCTCTTCATGACGAGCTGACTGTAGCTCGTCACGACATCACATAACTGCGGGAGCAGGTTGCTTTGCTAGTCGACCAGACTGGCTCGTTGAAACAGGACCACTCGAGAATAGTCTCGGGCCTTGAACGCGGAGGTGCTCTTCAACTCTCGAAACGGGCTCGTACTGATAGTACAGGCGGAGACGTCCAACGTGAAAGCAGGATGCGTACGCATCCTACAAGATAGTTCGATCATGCATGCGCTGAATATGCAGCGCAATACACGAACAGTACCGATATACTTGGGCAGTAATTTACTGCTGCCCACGTTTGTCACTGCATGTTTCGGTATATTTACTGCTGACGGCAAATATAAGTCTCCTTCATTAAATGAAAGAACATTTGCTTTCCCAAGTTTTTCTGCGTTTTATCTCTATTCATATATTGCGTCTGCAATAGAGTTTTGAACGAAGCAGACGGATGCTTCGCGAGTTAGCAGAATTTCTTTGCTGATTCATCCTTGTTAACAGCAGTGCGCTTCGTGTGAACTGCTGAAAGAACGTTGCTTTCACCAGTAAAGGCGTCACTATCCTCACTTTGGCAGTCATTGGCGATGTTGAATATACCAGCATCGTCATCGTCATCATCATCGATGTAGATCGCATCGGCATCGGCATCCATCACGTCGACACCATTGTCGACGGGTGATGAACAAGAAACAGATCGGTTTTCGTTCGAGCGAGTCCACCCCCCCCTTTAAACTAGATTCACACTCTAAGAAGGCGGGTATACGTGGTTAGCGTAGGCCATTCACGAAGAAGAATGTATGTCGACGCATGCACCGAGTTGTTAATGGCGAATTTCGCCATCGGCAAGAACTCGCTCCAACTCGTAAACGAGTGGACATACCCTCGAAGTATTTGTATTAAGTATTAAGTATTCGAGGACGCGGTTGACGCGTTCCGTCTGACCATCTGTTTCGGGATGGTCAGAAGTCGACATCTTCAACCGTGTTCCAAGTGAACGGACACGGATTGCCAGAACTCCGCTGTGAAGCGGGATCCCTATCAGAAACGAGTTCACGGGGTAACCCGTACAGTCGAAAGACAGTTTCGACGAAGGCTCGAGGACAGCCCTAAGCTGTGTTCGACTCCGGTACGGCAACAAAGTGAACCATCTTGCTTAACCGATCAACAAACATAAGAATATCAGTGTTCTTGCGAGCGATTTTAAGATACCCGAAGACGAAGTCCATCGATATATACTGCAAGCAATCTGCCGGAATCGGTAAAGGCTGCAAGGGTACATGGGATGAAGGACTAGGCTTCACCCGTTGACAAATTTTGCAAGCGCGAATGTATTTGCGCACGAAATTATACTGGCGAGGCTAGAAGAAGTCACAGCTTACCGCGAGGTAAGTTTTTCCTCTACCGCGATGCCCACTTGTTGGGGCATCGTGACACTGATACATGATGCGTAATCGCAAATCATCATGATTGGGAGCGAAGACACAAGGCGTGTCGCCATTGGCTGCTATATAGTACAGCAGTCCATCACGAACCTGATACCGTTCGGTTGAAGAGCGGTATTGAGACGTCAAGATTTTCAAGCTTGAATGCATGGATTAGACACGTAATCCATCAATCTCAGAAGAAACTCATTTTCTGCGTATGCCTTCTGCACGTCGTCAAGCAGATTCGACGACGGAACACTCACTGATAGTGTTGCAACAGCGGAATGACCCCTACTTTTGGATGGAGCAGTCAGCTCCAAATCGGGCCGACGCGTCAGAGCATCAGCGACAACACTCAGTCGTCCTGGTTTAGACTCGACGGAGAAGTTACACTCCATGGAGAAAGACAGAAATCTCGCCATTTGTTGTGAGAGGTGTGGACTGTTTACGGCCGTGCGTAACGACGCATGGTCGACATAAACGATGAGGGGCCTATCACTTAAGAGGTGTACCCAAAATTTAGCCAGTGCATACGAATGGCAAGGTGTTCTTCTGTCATTCACTGGGTAATTACGCTCATCTGATTGCAACTGACGCCACTAATAGCAGATAACGAGCTCCACTCACTCTGCATCGTACTGCATTAACGAGCAGCAGATTGCAAAATCGCTGGTATCGTAGGTCACGTGGAACGGTCTGTTCTGGTCTGCAATCGCCAACAGAGGCGATTGTATTGATCTTTTCTTGATACCTTATAAAGCGTGCTAACAAACAGTACTCCATGACCACCTCTCATTTTTCTTAAACAGACGAGAGAGATGTACGTTCATCTCAGCGTAGTTGCGCGAGTACTTGTGCAAGTGCACCGCTAAGTCAAGGGACTTTCGCCGTACCTTGACGTCGACTGGCACAGGCCAGTCGCTAATCGCCTTGGTCTTTTCTGGATCAGGGCGTACGCTGATTTTACCCACGATGCTGCCAGGAAGTGATATTTTGTTTGCTGTGAATATGCACTTCTTGAGGTTAGCGAACAACTTTTGCTCTCGCAAAAGAGTAAGAACCTTCCGGAAGTGGATTATATGCACCTCCACGTCCGACTTTTCATCCATAGCCCGGCTATAGACGAAGACATCGTCAAAGTAACTCGGTGCAAAATCTCTCACCGATCGCAACAGATTCGTAACACAACTGTTGAACGTTGCAGGGGCGTTACTTAGCCCCTGTGGCATCACTACCCACTCCCAGAGCATACCACTGATGGTGCTCACTGCGGTGTACGGGATGTCCCGTTCACGCACGAGGATCTGATAGAATCCATCCATCAGATCCATGGACGAAAAGATGGTACTTTTTTCCATACCATCTATGATGACGTCCTTCCTCGGTATCGTCGATTTATTCGGTACCGATGCAGCGTTCTGTTGTCGAATGCGTGCACTATCCGCCATCCTCCTGTGGCCTTTTGCACACAGAAGGTCGAAGAGATGTGTGGGGATGTTGTTTCCCTCACATGACCAGCCGCTAAACGATCGGCAAAGAATTTGTCGCTCTCTGTGACCTGTTCACGAGGAAGTGGCCACTGCTTCACGACACAGTACTTAGACCGGGTTTCAAATCGATTCCATGCCGAGTGCCTTTGTCCGTGGGCAGCTCGCATGGCACGGATTCAGGAAAAACGTCCCTGGATTCAACCAAATCCTGATACAAAGGATTTGTCTTCAAAGACTCCCAAGGTTGAGACGTGTACCGCTCAATCCGGGTATTTTCATCGATGACACTCTCATCCGTCGATGAGCTACTGAGAACCCGTTCGTTCTCAGTAAACACTTGTGCCAAATAAATATGGGCGACGTACTCCCGCTCTGTGATGAGTACGCAGATCTGCTTGATCTTGTCACTACGCAGATCTCGCAAGAATCTTGTAGATTTTAGCGTTGGCAACTTGACTTCCTCCGACGCTGACTTCGTAGGCGCGATCAGATTAAGTGTATAAGCGCCCACACTTCATCCGTCATTCATTAAGACATTCACTGTCTTGGTGATTTCCTGGGAAACACATCCGCAGGTGGCTGTGGATCCACACCCTCAACATAACTCTATCGGGAGTTATCACTCTCAGGAAAGCTGGAACTTTCTTCCAATACGTGTACTGACTGTGGGCGTGCTAACACAGTCACGTCCTCTTCGATCGACTCTCTTTCAGTCGAGCAGGCTTGCTCTACGATCGACTCTCTGATAGTCGATCTCGCTTCAACGTCTTGTTCATCCTGAACAACACTAGTCTCTCTTCTCGAATGCACCCTTCTTAGTGTGCATCCGTGCTCCAGTCCACTCGATTTCTTCGAGTGGTGAACCTTCGGCGCAGCCTGTGTCTCTACACAGGTGCTGGAAGCTGGTTCCACAGTGTAGTGGCCTTCTACACTGTAATCTTGTGCAGTCATACTAAATACCGTACCACAAGTGAGGCCATCGCACTCACTCGTAGTTCATCCACACGCTTGTGGCCACTACAAGACGTTCATCACATGGCCATCTGATGAACAAACGGCAGGCATCTCCACGGATCGATGATGCCAGCTGATCCATCTGGTATTTTCTAAGCCATGGCAGACCTAGGATGACACCAAATTTGCCATCCAAATCTAATACGACGAAGCCGTCATCGTACTGCCTTCCTTTTAGCGTGTTGAGGATTCTTACTACATGTTTGGTCACTGTTACGAATGCTCCTGTAGCAAGCAATACCGTCTTTCTCGTCAGAGGGATCTCTCGCTCAACATAGTTGAGTCTACTATCCTCTAGCGACTGGCGTCGGATATAACTGTTCGACGCCCCACAGTCAACTAGGGCGCGAAGTACCAGTCCACTTGTCACTTCGATCTTCATAGTGATGAGGGGTACTCGACAAAAAGTGCAGAGATATGCAGTGATTGTAATTCTGGAGCAAATTTTGTCAAGAGTCCTGCAAAATCTCTTGAGCTTGCTGGATCATCAGGACGATCCGCCCCTACTGATCCTTACCCTTTTTAGTGTTGCGCTATTCTGTTAGAATTTTTCAAAATCTTTTTGCCCGCTTCCGTTGTCCTTCTTGGCAAATGGTCGAACAGTTTCTTCCGTGTTTCGAGACACTGAAATCAAGGCGCTACACTCGTTAGCGTAGTGTCCCAAATTCTTACAGCGTATGTACTTTTGAAATCGCTTCTAGCTTAAAGAGCGAGGTCTCTCTCCCTTGACATAACAGAGGTCCATTGGTGCTAAACATCTGACCTTTATTCGTCTTAGGGTACGATATGAACCCATATAAGCATGATTTGTGAAGCTTAAGTCTTCCTATTCTGCAACTGATACGGCTTCTTCTAGCGCGTCCAGTTCCAAGCGGAATACGTGAGCATTACGGGACTATCCGCAAGACCCTGCATGAGCACAGTGATCAACGTGCCTTCATGAACTAAGTTGGTCGTGACACAAATCGCAAGGAGTCGTATGTGTTGGTCGTAAATAAACATCTCATGCTTACCCTGCTTGAGTTCCAGAATCGCTGATTGGGCCCTAAACTCATCCCTTGGCAATTTAGACGTTTGTCTAAGCCGAATCTTGAAGACCTCCAATGACACAAAAACAAATAGGTCGTGCACCTTGATCCCGGATGCCCAGGTTTTGGCACGTTCAGCCAGGTTTGACTCAGCAAATGCGAATTGCATTTGCTCATCGACGATGTGAAAAGCCCTTATGGAGTGTTCCAACTCGATGAACCATCTCAGCAAAGAGCCTTCCTTGACTCCTCTATGCTTTGAGATGACTAATTTTCCAAGATTTCGGTCGACCCGAGCGCGTCGCCCCGGGAACAGTAGCACGTACCTGCTGTTGCCTCAACAGTTCGAAATGTTAAGCACCCTGCTCCCTTAGTAGCTCTGCATGTTTGAATTTTTGCCTGCGAAAGAATGTTACTATATCCCTTGACTCGTCAAGCAACTTGGCGACGGCGGCATGCTGCTCATCCCTGTCCAGTGCGGACAGCATGACAGGGACGGCATGTCCTCCCAAAGACGAACCCATTCGTTCGACCGCACTCCATTCAATGTCACTTAAAAAGGAGTAGCTTTCACGCGTGAAGTTAAAGCTGTCACTAGGATCATCCAAAATGCTCCTGATGGATGTAAGGGTTGCGTTCATTGGACGAACACAAAGTGCTTCCAGGTGTGACGGGGTGCTGGTCACTAGTACTGCTTCAGTACTAAAGCGAATACACTGACAAAAGTGCAGGTGGTGCCGCGCATCACGTCACGTACATTATACGTGCAGAAGAAGGCTAGCTAATGAATGATGCGTTTATAGGATTAGAAAGTAAAAATGTATTAAGTGTAATTAAGTCCCCAGTACATATACCTGTGTTTACCCCTGACTTCATTATACTTCTTAGAGAAAATGTATGCTAAAGGCTAGCTCACCAGTCAGTGTGCGCGTCCATCGTTGAGATGAAACTTGAGCTGGCTAATATGATGGCCCATATCAGCGAATCGGTAAGTGGTTATAAATATTACCCGTTATGATAGTATCGACGAACATTATTAAACTTTGTGATAATATTTCAATGAACAAGTATCAAAGTTGATTAAATGTAACAGGCTCACCACGTTACAGAAAGGAAAACTACGTTTTGCTTTAATCATGGTACAATGATGACTGAGCAAGAAGATACACAGAGACCGGGTTTGGATGGACGGTTGCTGTCAGTCCCACAGATTCTTAACATGAACTACTTATGCAAATTATATTGAAATACTGCGGTGTTCACGAAGACAATAGTTTGGTGGTAGTTGTTAAGAATGAAAGAAACGTGTACCCACTTTTAGTAGAGGACGAACGGCCTATGTTTATTCACTACAAGAAGGAAAAAAACGAGTGGGAGCTATGGTACGCTATAAAGGGCCACTCAATCTACTTGGTTTACCAGTACACTCACCAATAGGTCTACGATCTGCCAAAAATTAATGAGAAAAGCGAGGATTTGTGTCGTGGATGTCTATTCGGAAAATGATTGTGGCTTCATTTCAAAAAGAATCAAGCGCAAAGACCACCTAGCCTCTACAGCTCATTTAATCAGATGTTACGGTAGAATTAAGACCAATTCCCCTGGTGGACCTTCTAGTAGAAATACACAGCTCTTAGTCAAAGGAAGGCTCACGACTCTAGAAGTCACTGGGTTTTGCAAAGCTAAGTTCCTATAAGTTCAGATTGTCTCTAGGTCAAATAATGAATTAATTCAGACTTGCAGAGTCTTCACGTTCACAGGGCTTCTAGTCGTGCTTTATAAGACTAATAATGATTCCGATAATCTTGCACTAACGGAGTGCTTATAAGCACGCGCCACTTAATCGTTGCGATCTGCCGACGTCTAAACTAGACATGTGTCAACATCAAACTCAAGGGGAGTTGCTGTTTATTTCTATGTTCGAATCTCTAATAAACCTCATTCGACTACCTATTACCTAGGGTAGACTAAATTTCTGAGTAATCTCTATTTCATTAAGAGATTGATGAATGATACATCAATATGTAATCAATGGATAACGGAGGTTCTCAAACACATCAATTATCACAGACAAAACTTGGGACTGTATATCACATATAAGAGGTAAATCCGTTTCGGGTGGTAACGGTAGTGTGACCCCGTTACACTCTCTCCACCAGACTGACGTTATTAAATAACATCGATCGATCCATCACCTCATCGAGGCCATTGGTTAATATTAAACATCACAGTTGTTCAACGCGTTTTGTATTGAAACGCCTAACAGGTCATTGACCCTTTCCGACCTCTTCGGTTGGAGGTAGTAAGCTGTTGTAACGGGGTGAATCGTTACATAACAATTTATAAGAAATTGTTAATAGAATATAACTATAAGAGTTATATTCTCAGAATATTGTCATAAGGACAATATTCTGTAGCACTTCCAAGTAGTTCCTAATTGGTTGATATAGGCCATTATATCAACCAACGAAGACGCGCCACGACAGACGCACGCAATGAGTGGTGAGCAGATAACTGATTTACACATTTGTATTTAGACATAGTTAGATGAAGATAAATAGTGATTTATTGCAGACATTAACTATTATAAATACAGTTCTACTTTTACTCTAACCGAGTACTCGCTTCTTCTTACCGTCTTCCTCTGCACGTACGAGTGTACGTGAAGTTACGAGGCACCGCCTTATTCTGTTATCAGAATAAGTAGCTTGTACTGTCACCAGTACAAGCTTCAGGGTGCCCCGTTACACCTGGTAGCACTTCGTAGTCCGTCCAAGGACCGCGTTCACATCCAACATG